GATTGCAGTCGCCCCACTCTCAAGCTAAGATTGCCCCTGAGAACTTCGACGATTAAACCGTCTACACACGTTTTGGCCACGCCACATCTGCACATTCAATGACACTCGGCTCTACCACTAACCACAATGTCACCTAAACACCAATGTCGCGTTGCCGCGCAAGCTTATTCCGCCATGCAAGCCTCCCAGGTCAATCTGACACAACCAAACCCCAAACACGAAATGCACGAAGCTTTAACCCCCGCCACCAACCACAGGGATGTCAATGGGCAAGCACTTTCTCTTCAACCATGTCCCTTCTGACCATCTATCAAGTGCAACAGCCAACCGGGACGCATCTGCAACACCGCGCCCAGGCACTGGGCTCTATGCTCACCGGCGCCACTCATAGATATTACACATGCCTCTCCTCTCTCCATCGAGTACAGATAGCTTTGGGGCCGTCAACGGTCCAGAGGCACCCGCCTGGCAGAAATGCTATGTCAGTTTTCCTATTTGCTAGCTCTTCTCATTATCCCACAGTGAATGCAGGCAGCTTCAGTTCTTCACGAGCTCGATCAAGAGACTCTGGATAATGGTTCCCACCTGGGATGGGAATAATCATGCTACATGTAATGACTACACCGAAACCGCAACCCGTACTGACCAAAAACGACACATTCACATGTGGACCAGGCACTCGTCGAGGCAGGAGTATTGCCGTTTTCATCAACTCAGCAAAACAAACCACCGACGGGACTCGAACCCGCAACCTCTGCCTAACCTTAATAGGAAAGCAACACACTAACCATTGTGCTACGGTGGCCTACCTCGGGATCCCTAAAATAGCGTTACGTTCTTTTTGTGCTTTTCTGTGGCGCACGAATCGTTGCCACTGGGCAGCATTGAGCTTCGTGGGTTGTACGGAGGCTACACTCCGATTGCTTAATTTCTTCTCGATATTTGAAAAGCATATGGAGTCCCAGGAAGATAAAGTGGAGCGCCAGGGCTATCGTTAGTTAAATCTGAGCAGTATACTTCCTGCTTTACACGAGTGCAGAATTAGCGCAACCTCATTGCCACTAGCTAAAGGATCGGCAGCATTTTAAACTTCGTCAGGAGTCTCCGATGGCGTGTTTTCCGAAGACATTGCAGTTTTAACCACCCACCTGTGAGCCACTCGAGAAGTTTAACGCATGAAGGAAGTGTCGTCACTCAAAGAAGTTTAAGCTGATTCAGATTATGACTATAGACTGTGTATACTATCTTGCCTCTCGAACCTTAGGCTTTCGGAGGCTTACATTGTACTTATGTGTATAGAAGCTGAAGGAACGTGCCGTAATGAGACTAGGAATATACAATGATGGACAAGAAGACATGTGATATAATGAGGTACGAAGGAAATGGTATCAGTGGTGCCTTCGGTATAAACGATAGGGTCAATGGGTGTGGGTAATGAATGGGTTGGAGATATGGGTCATGGGATATGCCGTATGACGACAGAGTACTTGACATGTGTTCGTCAAAGCACAACTGAGCCATCTCAACGCGGGAGGATCATGTAAGAGGCCCACAATTGTAGGGATTTACCATCATGAATCTGCTCTATACATTGAGTGATTAGGGGGTGGTGGATTAATTCCACTCACATGAGAACCGAATACGGTCGGCAACGGATTGTAGTGCGTCGCTTAGAACCAGTACTGCAAGGACGAAGATGAGCCCAAAGAACGTTTCCGGGATAACTTATCGCCACACTTACCCCAGGGAATACGGGAAGCCGAAAAACGTAACTAACTGATTGGCTGGAGCCGGCGCTATCGGTGGAACGGCTTGACGCTCTCGTCGGAGAGGTGCGACTTCGCATCGGAGATGTGGGGGTGTATAGCGTGTCGCAGTCGGACAGATTGTCGATGTTGGTGACGACGGAGAGGTGCGGTGCTCTGGGCATGGTGGAAGGTGTGGCCTGGGGTGTGGTTGTGGCGGTAACGGAAACCTTATTGTTCTTTGAACGCTTGGGAGAGGCGTTGAAAAGGGATTTAATACGGGGCGAGATGGACATTTCTGTGAGTGAGTGTGAGTGAGTGTAGCGATGCGGTTGCGGGAATGCTGCAGCAGAAGCGATTGTAGGTCGGTGGGGTCAGAGAGGTCTTATATAGGTCATTGTTGTGCTTCCTTGATACGCCGAACCGAAGAAGAGCGTTAGTTCGATCTTAGTACATTGAGTTAGCTTCGAGGCCCCAGTATTTACTAGCCCCGTGGACGGACCCGAATTGTCGAAACTAAGTTGAATCGATCGCGGCGGTGGACTGTGGGTGTATATCCCCTCATTGAAAAGGCATGCAAGTAAAGAGGCAAGCGATGGCGACGTTGTGATACTGGGGACAGGGTAAGGCGATATGCAGGAGATCCGAGGATCAGAAAGTTCTGGTCGGAGGGAAGGAAGACGCTGCTTTTAATTTCGAACAGGTACTTACTTACAGGGAGATTGCTGACCAGTGGACCCGATCAAGTCACAAATCTGTCCCAGAGGTGTGATTTCGTCCTAATCTTACAATGGAAGCGACTTTCGATGGCTGACTTGGAGTA